GCCAGAGAAACCAACACGACCACCATGACATGGGATGGTCGGCAATCAGTCTTTGATCACCTTGGAAACGCCATGCCGCCAAAAGAAGCAGCCGAGAATTCAGATCTTGTGTGGACAATCATTGAGCAAGCCATGAAGCATTCAAATGAGAATTCTGCGTCCATCCCGTCCGAGCAGAGCTTGCTGCACTACTTCGAGGAGAAAGTCAAAACTTGTTTTCCTTCATTTATTGAAGGCGATGAACACGTCGCCAGAAAAAGAGAGACAATCCTATATATGGCGAGCATGTGGGGTGCATTCGTAGGGAGTGAGATACAGAAGCAGAGCCTGAAGTTCTTCTGGTTGGAGGAGTGTATCGATGGAGAAAACTTGTTTGTTGCAGAGACTTACCGGAAGGTTCTAGATAAGATTGTTGAGCCTGTACAGAAAGGAGCAGACATCATGTTCGGACGAAAAGTGGTAAGTTTAGTGTCTCCTGAGGCTGATGACAGCCAGGACCCCAGAGTGGTGGTGAAACTTGATGGTAGGGAGGATATGATCTTTGATGAGGTCGTCATGACAGCGCCATTGGGGTGGCTAAAAAGGAACAAAGAGGCATTCCTTCCAGAGCTACCAAACAGGCTGAAGCAAGCTATTGACGATATCGGGTATGGACATTTGGACAAGGTAAGTATTCTTCATCTGTATCCCTGTCTTGTCAAGATGATCCCCTTAGGATACCAGTAGATATCAACTCACATACACAGGTCTACATCACCTTCCCAGCCGCTTTTTGGAACGAGTCATTACCTTCCAACCACGATGCGTCTGCTTTCCCTCATCCACAACATGATCCAGCTCCCAATGTTCCTGCAACAACAGCACCCATACACCAGAGTTCTTCTGTCGTGTCGAAACCGACACACCACCCCGGCTTCACGCACTGGAACTCTCCCCATTACGCCGCATCCACTAATCCTCACAAGTGGAATCAAGAATGTGTGAATTTGGCAGCACTACCTGACGATACGGCCCATCCAACTCTCTTGTTCTACACCTTTGGGCAAACGTCCATCCATCTGGCATCTCTTCTCAAGGAGTTCCCGACGCCAGAGCATCCCGATGCCAAGGCCCTCCTAATCGAATTCTTTGAGCCTTACTTCTCCCGCCTTCCCAACTACGACCCAAAGAACGCGGATCATCAACCCAAAGCCCTATTGGCAACAGTCTGGGCAAACGATGAACTCGCTGGTTATGGCTCATATGCAAATTTCCAGGTTGGTTTGGAGAGAGGCGATCAAGATGTCGAGGTAATGAGAAGAGGATTACCGGAACGGGGCGTTTGGTTAGCGGGAGAGCACACGGCACCCTTCGTAGCGTTAGGTACGGTTACAGGCGCATGGTGGGCCGGTGAAGGGGTGGCGAAGAGGATATGTAAGGCGTGGGGTCTGAAGAGCGAGGGAAGTGCCAACGGAAACCCAGTCTCTGGGGGTGGAGATGTAGATGCAAATACACAGGACTAAATGATCACAGATTTATAGAAATCGAAAGACGTCATATCAAAGGAGGGTGGAGGATGACTTCAGTCTTTAATTGTTTCTTAGTTCGCCTGGATCAAGGACTATTATGAAGGGTTGCCTTCCCTATCAATTGAACTGATGAGACACTGTTGATCCTCAAACCGGAATGTACCCCATGTCAAATCAGATCACGCATTTCCAATCCTATCGCTACACATGGCCAGCTTGACCCAATGAATCGTCCAGCCTTGTCCAGCCTTTTCTTTCCCCCACACCCTTAATATGATCTTGAGAGATGTTTGCCGCTACGATAACACATTCGGTGTAGTAGCCTGGGAGCCTTAAGAGAGCCAACCTCCCTAGCCTTGGGATATTCTTGTACAATAACTTCTTCCGCATCCACCAAATGATTCACCTGAGAGCCTCACACATTGTCTGCATCAGATCGTCACTCGAACCGAATCATGTCTAGAAGGAAGGCATTACCGAGAAATTTCCTGAGTCTGTGTCAGGTAGGTTTCGGCTCCATTTCCATAAGCAAGCACATAGCGAATCTTCTACAGACCGATGCTCTGGCCCAGATCCACGCAGTCTAATCCGAGACCCAGTTGCCACCACAACCTCACACTACCTGACCACTTTCTCGTTTTTTCTCGACCCCACCTTCGGTCGAATAATTGTTCAGTTTCAACTGCCAATTACAACGACGACGTCCTCAAGCTTGTCCGGGGAAACACAGCCTTCGCTGTTAACGAGAAGAATCACACAGGTGATCACTCAGCCACAAACACCGCCTCCTAATCCCACCTCGTCGTCCAATGATGACGTCTCAAACGGTCTTCCAGCGGGCGCAAAATCTGGCATAGGCATTGGGGCAACCGTTGCTCTCGTCTTGATCGCATTGAGCGCCTTTCTGCTAGGTCGTCGCATATCGCAAGTTAAGCGGTCATCCGGAATCACGTTTGATGAAGCGGAGCTGGACGATACAACAACGAAATCAAGAAATGGTGATCCAGCTGAACCAGATGGAGAAGGCGGGAAACATTGTATTGGGGTCGTCGAACAAGTTGCACCAGTGGAATTGGATGGCGGGGATATTGAACGGGGTCAATCAATGGATACAGTGGAATCTAGTTCCAGATATCGACCCAACGGAACATCGTCGCCAGTTGGCGAATATACTTGAGAGTGGTGTCAATCTAGAATATCCACTCTCGCGGAACTTGGAGACAGCACAATCATGAGCAAACCACTCTCCATGAATAGGAAGAAACCTACATGACTCAAAACAGAAAGGGTATGTTAATTTGGACAACTCCGTGGCATGTCTACGGTCTACATCGTTACAAGTCTCCGTTTGTGATAGCTCTAACATCACCTTTAGCAAAGGGTTGGTGTTGAGGTACTCAAATTCTGGAGGACCAGCAGAAAGTTTGCAGGCATAGTAGAAAGTTTGCAGGCATAGTACCTTCAAAAAACACCCAAATAGCAACATCACTCACAGGTTCGCTCTCTACTCGTTAAGTTGTACTTCAATGCAATAAGCAAATGAACATGGACTACCAGGACTCTCTCAAACGCGCAACTTCACCTCCCTTTTTAACTCCTAAACTTGCCTTCGCTACAATCTCATACTGCCCCCTTCGCCCTTTCTCCTCTCACAGCTCCCTGAAGATTCCCGAAGCTACCAATTTCCTCAACCCTTCCTAGAACCCCTCCTCCCATGCCCGTTTGTTCTCGGCAGCAACATCGCCGTTCAGCTTAGGGTACATATCTTTTTCTTTCGCCCCCTTCGGGTGAGCATCAAAGATCCCTTCCTCTTCCGGAAAGGCAACATAGTACTCAACATACGGGAGGAACTTGTCAGGAATATCGGGATATATCTGTAACCCACAGTTCAGAAATCGTATTGTGACGCCGTGGGGGCTGTGAAAGAGCACGATATCAGCCTTGTCATCGAGCGGCAAGTCGAGCAATTGTATGCCGTTCTGTGCCGTTCTGTTGCTGATCTCCTCCGGATGCCAGATGATATTGTCACTTGTCGGAGAGATTGTAAGTTGACCATCCCATCCCATCCACCACTGTTTCGCACATGGATGCTTAAAGATTCTGTATTATATCAGCGGTACCGTAGTGACCCTGGAACGGGAAGGGTCTGCACCTTTTTCCAGATTATGGACTTCTCCATTTTCCAATCCAACTTTTTCATATCCCTCCTGCTGTGTATCTTCTACTCTTTGCCCGCTTTCAGAGGTGCTTTCATGGAGCTTCGGATGATCAGAGGATTCAGGCATGCTACGTGCTCTTGTGAAACTGGATTGAAAGGAAAGATCATGGGAGGCCTAGAACTTCCTCTTATATTAGGGTGGAGAGAGCAACAATCCCTAGGCCTATCCAAGTGACCTTGGACAATGATTGCTATTAAAAGTACACTATTTTCCAGATACCATCAGGCCAGTGGCTCAGCAAACTACTTGCCGGTGTTTTGTATCGTAAGATTTTATCATTGGCATATTCAGTCTGGTTTTCTCCGGAACTACTCAGCATATCATTGCTCGTCTACACCACTGGATATGATCAACTCTAGGTACAACTAACTACGCAAGATGGGCTCGAAATTTGTTTCTCAAAATGTATTAACTCAATCCGTAGCACCGCGAAGGTCAGCCAAGAGGATGTTCTGCAAAATTTGATATGGTGACGATCAGACAATCAACAGAGGCACGGGCGGCCACGAAGAACCGCGATAAAACTTCAGCGCATATTAGAGCACTTCTACGATAAAATACACGTTATAAGGTTGGGTTGCTACATCAACTCAGAATATATGCCATTGAATGAGGTCTCATGATATATTTCCCTCCGGACTCACAATTTGGGTTGCAAAAGCCTTGCCAGTAACCGGGTGACTTGTGAACAATAGATTGGTATCAACCTGCACAACGAGAGATCGATACTATAGAGGAGTTTGAAAGGTGGCAGAAAGGGACCTGAAGTGATGAGGAGGAGAAAAGAATATCGAATAGAAGATAAAAGCCAGAGTCAAAGAGCATTGATTCCAGCGGAGAGCCGTGTCGTGGTATGAAGGAGAAATGAGTGAGAGCGGCCTGCGTGTGAAAACTTGGTGTCACGGGTTTCCGATGCAAGTTGGTCTATGGGTGGGTATTGTGGCGCGGATATTTGGTATTCGTGGACGATCAGGAGTTGAGGATGAGGTAGGCTTTTTGGCTAGGCAGCGGCTCAATACCAGGCTGAGATGGCATCTCGCTGTAATGACCCTTGCTTGAATACACAAGTGTGTCGTTACTCCGCTTAAGGAAGTGTAGTGGGTGACCCGGCGTCCATTGCCATGATTCTCTCCCCATTTGCGCTTTCTATTTGTGCACAGCCACAACTCAAGAGCCACCATCTCATAATAACACATATTGAGAACAGAGGGTGCAAAACTTCGGTTCTTATAGATCAACTAATGGGCCATTCGCTTCTAACTACAACTACACATTCTCAGTAGTATAACGGTTAGTATTCGTGCTTGTCACGCGCGAGATCTGAGTTTGACTCTCAGCTGGGGAGATTTCTGGTTTCCTTTTTTTGGTTCCCCTTGAATCTCAAGCTTATCTATCGTTCTCATATCTCCTTTTGCTAGGAGATTTTTGATTGTGGGCTTCCCGATGCTCCGTTCTTTGTGGTGAAGCCATCACTGGCCCTGACCAAAGTTAGGAGCAGCAGAAAAGAACCTACTTTAGAGCTTACATAGCGCCTAAGTCTCATGCTATCTGAAATCACATTGACACATAGTAATAGTAGAATGTGTGATATGCAACCTTTGAAGGCCCGAAAGCAATATGGGGACACGAGAGCATACCCTATCTCTCATAATTGGAATATTCGCGCTCAACGATCAAACGTGGACCGATAACTTCAAATAGATAGAAGTCGTTGCATAGCCCCCGAAGCTCTGACGTCTATGTATGCCCGGAATTCTTAATTTCACCGTTTCAAGCCGGCTCAGGAGAGGGCGTGTCTTATCTCTAGCGTCCCCCTAGCATATCTAACAAGGCTATGCGTCCCTGAATACACAATTCCAGGAACTCAGGTCCGGCACTTACAGCTCCGCCGAAATGTTTCAACATCACTGGAGGGATGTTCCCTATCAACTACCTCGTTCAATTGGCGAGAAGGAGACCTATCCGCGCGATTGTTTAAAGTGGAGTTGACTGACGCGCTAAACGCCCCAGTAGAGGAAGCATGACAACTGGTATCCTCTTTCTCGGAAGTCTGAGCCCTATCCTTGGGCCCTATGCATACCAAAGTAGGCTTGCATCGCTTAAACTGCAACTGAAGGTTGTCTTGCCGTTCACTTCTCCGTATCGCTTCGCCTTTCTAGGATGACCATGCTACAAATCTTCAAGTCTAAACCTTATCCCCTCACCACGCTCACATACCCCTGAACCTTGCATTTCATTCCACCGCATCCCGCTCCCCCAAAAGAGCTACAATGACACAACTGCCCCGGGAATTTCACCGAAGGGTAAGTCAGCACCGTGTAAGAGTATCTTGCTCATACGACACTTGTATCCACCATACCGCTCAACCCACAGCTCATCCTGAGCTCCCCAGCACCCGGACGCAAACCCAAAGCCCTCACCCACGCACGTCCCAAATGTTTAATGAAAGGGACAAGTCATCACTGCGAACCTCGTCCGCGACCTGAAACCCCCTTCCAAAACCTTCTCCAGCCCCATATTGCACAAACAACACGATACGCTCAGCAGCCTGTATCCGCAAACCCATTAATTCGGAGCCAACCAGCCACTGCTTAGCCTCACATGCCTTAAAACACACAGCAGTTGATGTCAACCACATGAAGGACTAGTGAGCGGCACATCATACCACTGTGGTATGGGGGGCTCGTCGGTGCGAGACGGATGCGAGAATTACGGGGTGGGCGTGCAACTCGCCTCGTGTTTGTTCTGAGTGGATTCAGGGCGTTTGTGTGGTTCCGGTGAGGTGGGTTGTGGTTTTGGTTGGATGGATTCGGGCCGATGGGGGGATTGGGTGGGGACCGGCGGCCAAATGGTTGAGGGGGATTTCAAAAGGCTGGGTGGAAGGTAGAGGCTTGGTAGTATCAGAGGCAGATTTCATTTTAGGGGTGAGGGAGGGTGTGTAGATGACGATTAATGACGATGTGATAGGACGTGTAAGGAACCTGTCTGCACGCTGGTCATCATGACGATGCACATGAAAAGAATTCACAACAGTTATCACGCTGAAGACAACTCAGATACGATCGACATATGGGAAATGAAATATATTTGCTTGAAAAACAATCTAGTTATGTATGGCCAGTAGTACATACCGACATGTTATGGTATCATCCAGTCGAAACTCCTGTAGGAGGAATCTATCCAATCCTGTTTTATGCTAGATCTATTGTGTACTTGATACAAAGGCGGAGGGTCGGCAATGTTCCAGCGCCTCCCAGAAAAGAAGGAGTGAACAATAGAAGAAACACCAGTCGCTATGCTGTACAAGGGGGAATGGCAGTCTTATGTTATAGCAGCCAACAGTGACCTTGATGTAAAGGAGACTACTCCTCGCAAACATCTTCGATGATGGCCTTTTCTTTGAGTGTTTGCAAGCTCGCATTATAGAACTTTTCGTATTCGAGCTTGATGCCGTGCTTGACAGCATCGAGAACTGTGTCGACGGTGGCGCGAGGCTTGTACTTGGGCTTGGTGCCCTCCTCGAACACGCCAGTATGAACGAGAATAGAGTACCAGCTGTTTTCGGCGTGCTTGTCGAACTCGTTCGTCCCCCGAATATCTGATTCAGGTGTATCCCCAACAAAGTAAACAGTATCGGGAGGAGAATCAATATCATGAGTGTCTTTTCTCCACTGCTGGAGAAGGCGGGTAGCAAATTCAAAAGTTCCAATTTGGGGCTTTCCGAATGCAGTTGTTTCCAGGTCGCGACCAGTGACGGCCTTGAACATGGCCTCCAGCGACACGCGAAGCGCACCCATGCCAATTCGTGTGAGATCATGAGACGCACTCCAAACGACATCATTGTGCGAGAAAAATACTGGCGGGCCTTCGTCGAACTTTTCTGAGCGTGTCCCGAGACGGCCATTCTTTGACATGAGAAGATCGAGAATGATTTGTTGATCAGAGGCCCAGTCACGGCTATCTGCAAAGACAAAGATGGCTTCAATCTCCACCTCGCCGAAGTTTCTTAGCCTGGAGTTCTTGTATTCCTCATCAGTGAGCTTCCGGAAGGGGGTGGTGTCTTGATTGTCTTTGATGATGTCGCCAGGAGTAACAACATCCTTGAAGCCGTAACCTTCGGCGACGTGTCTGCACTTTTCTCCTTCTCCACCGACGACGAGCACAGTCTTGAATTTCTCGGCCATTTCCCGCATGGGAGTGTGACCGCAAATGAATTGACCTGGCGAGACTTCCATTTCAAGTTGCTGGCTGAGCTGCAGGCACCTTTCCTGCTCAGTCTTACCGCCTTATCTGATGTTAGCTAGATTATCTAGTTGCAAGAGGTGAGCACAAACCTCCGTTGGTGACGAAAATGTAGGGGACCTTTATGCCATACTGGTTCTCACCGTTGAGCATCTTCATGGCCTCGATTGCCTCGGGGATGGGTCTACCACCACGAATGAGAACACCGTCAATGTCAAAAGCGAAGGCGTATTTGTCGGTCACAGTGGTTTCGGTAGGCGTGGGTGGAGTGCCAGGTGTTGTAGTCCGCTCCAGCTCAAGTCGAGCCGTTTCCATCGCTGTGGAGACTTCACTGGCATTTGAGGGAGCCATGAGGTGCTTTGGGGGAACGACGACGGTAGGCCCTTGAGTAATAGATTCCCGGGTAGCCTCAGTCGAGCTGATACGTCGCACGAAGCGGCCTTTGGTAGATACGGACAGCATGATGGAAATGGTTGGTATTTGTAGAGCTGAAACGGTGTTTTGTTGGACTCTGGACAGCTGGGAGACGGGCTATATAAACGTCAAAGTATCTAGTGCTCGTGCAGAGAGAGCTGATGTTCGGCGGGGATTGGAGACCTCGGGATGCTGCTGAAACCCTGGGGGGAATGTATCGACAGGGAGATTTGTGGACTTTTGTGGAGAAGGAAGGAATACATCCATTTGGGCGAGGACGCGAGCACCCTTTATATCTAATCTAGCGCCCCTCAAGTTGAGACAACATGCTCGGGCTACTTGTTCGCAAAAGCCCTACTCCACCGTGGCCAAATGCCCTGCGGTAACTATGTTCATCGACGTCGTTGGACCCTCAGTCCGTCTGCGGCGAAGGTGAGCCCGAGAGCTTATCGGTGGCATCTCAGCAAGTGGAGACTTTGCGTCATCGCACCGCACAACCATAGCAGCGCAGCGTGCAACGGTCATTTAATTACGGCGATCGGATGTTTGTCGCCATTTCGAGAGGTAAGAGGATGCACTGTGGTTGGTCGCTGTACCTGAGAGTACCTTGTCCAGCGTGTGTGGTTTGACGCTGACTGCGGCATACCCTCGCATGAAAATTGGCATGTATCCACAATCCATCTCGGCCGCGCAAAAGCGGCTGCGCAGCATGTGTTCTCTTCACATGCCACCAAATTGAATATGCTCGTGGTGAACACCATTGAAGCTGGTGGACTGTACAAGTACACAACAGCGACCATGTTCTGGCGAGGTTGAAGAAAAGGTCTGGTGGATGACGCAACAACTCGCTTGTTCGCCAGACGTTTCTCTTCGAATCAACGCCTCCAGGGCCAATGTTGCACTCGGGTCGCAAATTCTGTTCGGATCAACGTCCTCGATGCCTTTCTCAACGACATCCTGCGAGAACGACCCGGCATCGTTCTCGCGGCCAAGACCGCACTGACATCTATGCTGCCTGGCTACCGTCGCTCGGCCCATGGAACAGGAAGGATTGGTGGCGAGTATTTCGAAGCATTTGTCCACTCGGAAGGCTCCATTATCGCCGAGTTCTCCAACAAAAACATTTTACATTTTCTTCTCTCCCTCATTGCCTTCGACGTTGTCAGCGCTTTGCTGTGGATGCGTGATAATAACAGCGTTGCGACGTGCATTATCCTTATCGCACCCTTCACACGTCGAATCCTGACGTTTGTCTCAAACATGCCTGTCTAAAAACCGTCTCTTGCATGGAGCGACACCCCAAGGGCTTATTTCGTCGTGGGTCAAGTACCCACACATGTATGTGGTATTGCGGTAATAGCAGTTGACATCATCGCACATCGCGAGAACATGTCTCTTCACCGGATGGGAGCGTGCTCAATACGGAAATGACAGTGTTCGCGCTTCCTCACGGCGCCATGGGGCCATAGCTGCGCTTCAATCGGGTCAGATGCGATCTCCGCGCTCCACAGCTTCTTTGTGCGGATAACCATGAGCCCTCGGAGCGTTGATTTGGCGGATTCAGCGCTGGAGGTTAAAAAAGCTGGGTGATGCGGTGCGTAGCATCTGTCACGTCTTTTACATCCACGTGGCCGAGTACCTCCGAATGATGGGATAGTATACTCAAGTGGGTTGTTCTGATGTGTGCAT